GCTCTGAGTGTCATGACAGTAGCTCTATTTAACAAAATATCTGGCACCAAACTTTTCCCCTGATGTGGGTTTGTTTTTTGGTTATGTATATACATATGTAAACTCTACAATTTTTCACTTAATACCTACTTCTCCACAATTAAACATTATGGCCAAAAGTTAGCTGGACTGCACATATGACAACCAGTGTATTACGCTGTTTGCATGCCAATAAAATAACTATCGACCGATAAAGTTGCCCTCTCCAAATGATTGGCTTTGAAGTTCATTTGTGTATTAAATATAAGAAGAGCGTTCCTGTGCGCTTCCTTCTTCCCCCCTCTATCCCCCTGTTTTTCCACCCCGTTGGCAAAGCGAGTTTATTTTGTTGAAGGTTTTCTTTTCTGCTGAAAATGCAGGAAATTCAGACAGCTCTCTTGGAAGCTTCCCAAAGCTAATACAAACAAGATACATATGCTTCTCCTAAAGAAACTAAAAATAAAGCAAATTATTTGAAACTATTTAACTGTAGAAATTCCCTTCTAAAGAGGAAAGGGAAGTTTACATAATTGTAAGTGTGGATGTGGTTAAATTATGTTATCAAGGTGAAATTCCCTGGAGTGCCAACTTGTTTGCTCCACTCTGCATGGAATAGTGCAGTACACAGGGGTTTATAAGAGCTGCTTTGCAAGCAGCAGTGGAAGAGAGAACCACTGAGCATCCAGACGTGCCACTGTTCAAAGCAATCCATGGCATCCGTGCAGCTAGCTGGGAAACAGGGCAAAGGAAAATGAACTGAGGCTGCATCTTGACCTGCTGTGGGTGCAGCTGATGGATCTGGAGCACCAGTTTACCAAATCTTTCCTCTTTGCTCATCCCTCGGGAAAAGAAGAGTGGAATTAGCCATGTGTTTGGGGTTAATTTGGCAGGCTGGGTCTTTTTGATATGTGTTAAGTATACGCTGTGTGTATCCGTTTGCTTTCCGTAGTTGACAAAGCTGCCTTTCAAGTCGTGTCTGTTTCATGAGCATAGTTGATTGTGATTGCACATTTTCTATAAAATATTTCATCAATTCTTATTTTAGGAAGGAGACAAAATCTCAGTGATTTATAGCGTGTGAAGAATTGCGGTGAGGTGTCAAGGGTGAGAGTAGAGAACATAAAAAAAGGCCATAATTCAGGCTGCGTGGGCAACCCTCACTCTCACCCTTATATAGAGAGAGATAGATATATAAATATATATACATAAATAGTCCGAATCTCCGTCCCTGGTGCCAGGCTGCGAGGACGGACGTGGCCTCGAATGAAAAAGCAAAGGGCGCAGACGACCTTGAGGGGGCAGTCGGACCTAGCTGGGAAAGCGCGTGGCCGGAGCCGGTCTCGCTCCTGTGAGTTTGGAACTGCTAGTCAGGAAACTGTGTCAAAACCTCTGGACTGCACTTTAGGGCTCAAAACAAAATAGAGAAAAAGTGCATTTAAGTCATTTTTAGCTTGCAATGAAACAAAATCATATTACAGTATAATACATGGGCAAGAGATGAGAATTACATTTGTGCGCTAGTGCCTTTTAGCCTGTAGAAAGATGCAGTTATTTGACTCCTGATTTTGCAATTGCCATTTAAATATTTCCTTGAGATGAGCTGTGTCACTGCAATTGCTGTGGTTGATGTTTGTCTGGGAACGCCAGGGTTAATCTGGTTCAGGTGTGAATGACAAATGTCTTCAGCTAGAGCATTCCTCTCAGAAATGTAATGCAAAGCTTATTTCATCCCAAAAAACAAACTAGTATCCACCCTTGCATATAAATACCTCTTCATAATATCGCAAGTGAGTGCAATTATGATTTTTACATGCCTATTTAGTATACACAGGAGGAACAAAAAATAGCGAAATAATTTCTATCTCGGTTTTTCTTAGACTAGAGAAGACCTGGGGGACCGTTAAGCAAAGTTAACCTGAATAATACATGGAGATGCCTATTTCTTTTCTCTTAGGAATTGTTAACATTTCAAGGATGGAGCTTTGCATTCATTCCTGATAGACCCTTTAAAACCAGCCCTCTATTGTTGTAAAAATTAAAATTAATTTAACGTCAAATTAAATTAAGAGGAAGAGCCCTTATGATGTTGAGATGGGAGTAACCGAAAGACAGGTATCATAAATGAAGCGAGTTTTCTGCAGTGTCCTTTTGAACTGCTCTTGCACAGCACCTCGTTATGGCTCTTTTGCGGTGCAACTTTACTGAAGGCTCCAAAATGCTTTGCTAGCAGGGTGTCAAGCTAATTATTAATTATATTTCAATTTAAAAAAAAAGAGGGCGGGACTTCATGTTGGTTAGAGACCGGAGCATGCAGCTCTACACACAGTTGGACCATTTGCACCTCCAGCTTGTGCTTCTTGTTAGCGTGTATCAAACTCGAACCATTTTTCTGCAGTGAATGTTCCCATTTCTGGGCTTGCCACATTTTCCTCTGTGGCCTCTCTGCTTTTTTTCCATCCTCTTTTCTCTGGCATTTCCACTTGTTCACTCCCTTTGCTTTTGACTAAAGGGGCACAGACTGCCCCAGATGGTTCCCGAGTCTTCTGTATGTGTCCGTGCCTGGCTTGGTCCTTGAGCAACCAAAACAGGACCAGGCATCTGGCCTTTCTCCTAGGTCTTTCTGCAAAAAAATGAAAATATTTTCAAACATTTAGCACATTTAATTCCTATCCTGATAAGGAAACATACAGTACATATAATTACCTACAGTTACATTAGTGCTCTGCTCCATCCCCTTGCCTTTTGTTGGCCGAATCTCCATTGCAGAAATTGGGTACCAAGCCTTTGACTTCCCACTATTTTTTTTTCTTTTTAGTGATGGATATGGTCATTTCTACAGCCATAATCAAAAAGACAAAAAAAGACTGACCTTGAATGGTGTTCATCAGGATTGGCATTGGCATTAAATAGGCGATATTTTGCAAAGGAAAAGTGTGATAAATTAAAATGGACAAGGCTTGCGCAGCTGGTCAGTTTTTGGCAATAGAAATACATCATCGCTTCTACCTAACCTCTTACTTGAAAATGCTGTCTAATCCTACCTGTGCCCCAAACTCAGTGTCTTGCCACCCCTCATGTCTTGCAGGACCTAAATACAGTCCAGAAAATAATTAATCGCTGCTGTGGTTGATGTTGCTGCCTCGGTCATACACATTCTGGGTTGCAGTGGCATTCAGCTGGTCTGAAAGATATTACCCAGAGTGATAAAAGTCTTGTCTTTTAGCTGCAAAATGTTTTTGTAACCTTATTTATATCTGCCCTGACGCCACGTCTCGATGCAGAGAGGTCGTTGGGAGATGCTGGGGATACAGAGCAACAAAAGCACGGCTGTTATCAGCGCTTATGGCATCTCTCCATTGTCTTATCCGAGTGCTGGCCTTGGCTTTCTGTTTGTTTGTTCCTGTTTTGAGAAGTTTTAAGCTTTTAAGAATGCTTTTAATCGCTAATAATAGGTGCACACAGCTCTGAGAGAATATATGTGCAATGCTGGAATTTAGTCCCGCGTTGCACTCTTTTATAGAGTTAATTCCTCGTATAAATGCTATTTGTAGCATGCTCAGCTGCAGGTGAAAAGCTGCACTGTACCCACCTACTTTCATTGTTGAGATTCCAGCTTCTTCATCTGGAGCTGCTGCTGGAAAGCAAAACCAGGTGGTTGGTTCTGGCCACCACGTTATAGCGTGATTCGTAAGGCTTTCTCTGCAAACTTGCCCCGTTCCCCTGTTTTAAGAGGAAAAAGCAGTATTTGAAAAGCCATCATGTGGCTCTGCATTTCTGATGCCCTAATGTGGACAGGGCTTCGCTGTTTCCTTACAGTTGTGGTAGTTATCTGGCCAAAATAAAGTTGGGGAGACCAGGAAGCAACCATTTCACCTTAGCATCTCTTTTTGAATGCTTGTGTGGTGCCTACAGCACTGAAGAGCTTTTTAGAAGACACTTTAATACACCATATTCAGAAGCAAGTCCAACTTGGTAGGCAAGTACTGCTCTGCAAACGTGTTAGCCAGGTCTGAATTTTTCCCTAGATTCCCAATGAAGCAGTTATACATCCTGTATTTTTGTATCATTTGCATTTCATTGTGTCTAACTGTGAGGCTCTTTCGTGCCATGCCAACAGGGAGACTTCAGGTAGAGGGACCTGCCTGTGTCTTGAGTGTAGGGATTGATTCTATCAATCAGAAAACTCCAATGCCACTGGCAGGTTAAGCAGTTGCAGCGAGCGGTTGTGTAAAGGATTGTGCCAACATGGTTAGCTAATAACAAAGGTAAGCAGATGGCTGAGACTGAGAGAGCAGTTTAAGAAAAAATTAAAAAAGAAGAAGGGAGATCTTCACATTCAGAAGAAAATCCATAACATGCCAGCCACATAATCAAGTACTTGAATGCCTTATGAGAGCTCAGAACATGACTGCTTTGTAGGCTTCTTTGTAGACCACTTTGTTCGGTTTGTACCAACCAGAAAAACTTGCAGTAAGATTCTCCTTGTTCTCACAACATGGTTTTTGATATGTCTGAGATATCTAGCAATATGAACAAAGTAGATTTGACTTCTTTTTTCCTATGCCTTGTGGGAGGACCCCTCACCAAACCCTCCAACAAGGGCTGACTTGAATATGCAGTAAATTAAACATAGGCCAAATTGCTTTTACTTAGCACAGGAAGGGCTGAAAGATGAAATTCACATAACCTTAGTGAATTTGACTGCCTACAATATGCTAATGCTCTTTTGGACAAGAAGATGGCTCTTGTTGAGAGACTCGAGCTAAGAGCTAAATGGCTGCTTTACATTCTGGTTTCAAGTGTGGTAGTTGCAGGAGTAAACACATCTCTTCCCAGACATTCCGGAATGCCAGATTTGTTCACTCTTGAGACATTAGCCAGCTAATAGCTCCATTAGTAATAATTACCTGCACCCCATCTTTATTACCTAATATATTTTACAATAGAAAAGGGCACACTAACCTTTTATTCCTTCCTTAAAGGCACAGGACCTGAACGTGATCGAGGAGGTGATCCGAATGATGCTGGAGATCATCAACTCCTGCTTGACCAATTCCCTCCACCACAACCCAAACTTGGTGTACGCGCTGCTCTACAAGCGGGATCTGTTTGAGCAGTTTCGAACTCACCCTTCCTTCCAGGACATAATGCAAAATATAGATCTGGTAAGTGATATGTTATTTAAAGGGTGCTTATACTTTGTTGTTGATCCTTTCAAGGGGTGAAAAATATTCCCTGTCTCTTGGCAGTTTCTTTTAGAAATTACTAAAATGTTAAGTTTCCTTCCGTGTTTTCTGAGCTATAACTGTGACTTACTCTGGGAAACATCCTTACTCAGCCGGGATTTTGGGATTCGCAACCTGCAGCAAATCTTTCATGTGCCTAGGGAAGGACTGTGTCTAGTTCTTTTAATTTCCCCCAGTTGAAGTGTGCCACTCTGGGCAGAAAAAGCAGTGTTTCATCACCAAGTCGTCTTTTCTCTTATTCCATTCTCTGCACTGAATAAATGATGATGGGAGACCTTCTTAAACAGCTGAGCAATTGCCTCATTCCTTGGCTTGTACCTGAATTTTTAAGTTACTTGCATTTCCAAAGTATTTGTCCACAGTGGTATGCAATCCTTCTGGGTAAGTAGAAATTTTAGTAGAAAATGAAAAGAAATATTTGTGGGTCAAAACCTGCTATTGGTTGTAGCTCTTGGTTGATGGCATATTAGAAGGTAGCTTTTGAAAACAGTTACTAAGTAATTTCTGCACCATCTAATATTGGCTTTAATATTTATATTGAGAAGGCAACTGATGATCCCTGCTAGAAAATAACAGATTTGAACTGCAACAAGCATTTCTCTCTCTTCTAGTCAGTACTTGCAGAGCTGAGCAATGCTTGAGGTCATGTCGTGACCACTGGATGCAAGATATTGGAAGCATGAGCTGAACTGGGTGCTAAATTTCTTGCTGCAGGGAATAGTTTGTTTATTCATGTGAACACAAATCTGCAGAGGTTCTCTGTTTCATTTGGCTTTTATGTTAAAATAGTACAGAGGATCGACAGTTTTCTGATGCCCCATAAGGGGAAGTAACTTGTGCTCTTGACAAAAACATATGACTTCAATCCTGTTTGTCCCTGGCCCTTCCTCTTCTGTTCTCACTTCATCTTTTCTGGTCCTACAAGAACTTGGAGCTTGGAGGATTCCAGCTCGAAGCTCCCAAGCTTTTGGCAGCTGCAGAGTGCAGACATTTAGACACTGCCTGCATAGCTGGGACAAGTTATCTTCAAGTTGCGTAAAGAGGGAACGTGGTGCAATCCAGATGACCACGTTCTTCATTCCTGTCAGAGATAGGGAACTTTTCAACTTTCCTGGTCCAAAATGAGGGAAACCAGTGGTGACTAGGACCGTCTGCCTGACAGTCCCACGCCTTCCTGAGAAGGCAGCGTGTCCTTTCCTTTGGAGCGGTTAAATGGAGGTTTTCCTCAACAATTGAAACAGTTCCTCTCCAGAGCTACTTAATATTGGGTTACAGCATAATGTCAGTTACATTCTGAAACTATTTAAAGCTTTCCAAGGGAGAATTTTGAATTTTAAAATAGCTCCTTTGTTAGAGAAGCGAAGATGTCAATTTTTTTTTTTTAATGTACCTGTCACCAGCTGGCAAGTGGTGAGAGCTGTCAGGCTTGCAGATCTGAATAAAAGATGAGATTCAGCCAACTCCTCTGCTACCCTGTCACATCCTGAAGTTCATACATGCTATCAGCACTGCCACCATCCTGTACAGAATCAGCCATTCACCCTCATGGCCTCCACAGGATGTCGTGAATGTCCAAAGTGAAAATGTGCTCCAAAAAGGGTCAGAAACTCACGGAGAAAGAAAAAAATCCTTTAAAGACTGCAAAGCACAAAATGTGGCTCCACTGTTTGGCTCAAGAAATTCCTAAATTGCATGTTGCTGGAAGCTGCAAGGTTATACTTACTCCTGGGGAAGATTTTGCTATTCTTGACTTCCTCTTACATCTTTCTTTAAACATCCAGCACAGCCTAGGGTCAGCAATTGGATGGGAAGCTAGCCAGGCTCTTGGTTTGACCAAAGCTGGTGGTTCGAGGGGGATGGATTAGCCAGCTTCCCATGCATCAGGGAACCCTGTTGGGTTTCAGGGCATTGCGAAGTTGCCTCTTTGGCCCAGAGATGGTCCCAAAGCTTGTAGGTAAATGGTTGCTACCTTGGGTGGGAGGAGAAGAGAAGCCACCTTTCTGAAGCAGCTCTGCTCAGCTCTGTGCTGCGGATCCCGTCCATCATTACTTTCTGCTGCGTGTTGCCCGGTTGAGAACATTTGGATTGTTTCCACCCTCGAGTAGAAATGTGAACATGATTTTCCTGATCGGATGCTGCTGGGCTAACCCAGCTGCAGAAATTGTGTGCATCCCTCTGTGATCTAGTGTGATCCCTTCTGCTGTACTGGCAGCATCAAGCCTTGTAGGTGGAAGCCTTCAGCAAAATCCTTCTCAACACTGGACATAAAAATATCTTACCCTAAACTGTAGTTCAGATTTATATTTCATATAGGGATACTACCATATAGTATGCTAATAGCCTCTGTTAAAGATAACTGACTGAAATGCAGGATATACACAATCTGTAATGATTTTGTGACATTAAAAACTTGCCAGATTGCTTTGTCAGGAACATATAAAGTAGATATGACATATCTTCAGTTCTTTTTCTTTTTTTTACTCTGTTGCATACAATGTTCTCATAAGCCAAATAGGGAAGACTAGAAGAGGTAAAAATACCAAAAGGTGGATGTAAAATTGGTTGGAATATGCAGGGAGAAAATAGTAACTAGTAGTTAACTGTGCAAGTGGAAAGAGGCATCTGCTACAGTCCTGCGTGGGTACAGAAAAGAAGCATAACCTAGAGGTGTCCTTCCATCCTGCTCGTGCAAGTGATGTGGTGGCCAAATAACTGGTCTTAAGTGCCATGCAGAAAGCTGCAGGCCAGCAGCATAAATTTAGGGGAGGATGTAGAGCTGTAAAAAACTTACAAGAACAAATAGACTCGGAGCTGATTAACCGAAGGAAGACTAAGGACAATGTGATGTTCTGCTGTAAAGGGAAAGGGAATAACCCATTCTTCATACTTGTGGCGTACAGGACAAGCGGCTGGTGTAAAATGCGGTGAGGAAGATCCACAGACAGGTTTAAGTAAAGCCTTTCTCATGTTGGTAATAATGTTTAAGGGTCATCGCTAGCTCAACCATTAACTTGCACTGAAAGCTACTTACATCATCCGTCTCTAGGTTTTTATAAATAAGCTAAAAATCACCATTGCCAGCTGATTGAAAACATATGGGTGCAGCTAATGCCGTGCAGAAGAAACTGAAATCAAAATGCCTTCTGTTTTCTATTAATTTACTTTTCATTTCAGAAAGTCATCTTAAGAGGATACTGGGCATCTTGTTTAGCTAAATGGGATCTGCTTCCCCTGGATGGTGAACAAAGAGGAACTCTATCGTTCCCGTGCTGGCCTACTACAGAAATGTCTCAGCTGTAAACTATATGCCTCTGCTTCAGAGGTGGTCGGTAATTTGGTCACTAGTCTCAGATGTGTCAGGAATTTGGCAGAAACTCCTCGCTGGTAATTACTAGAGATGAATGTGTTTCGTGACCATGATAAGAACTCGTTGGCTTTCATTACTTTCATATTTCCTAAGACCTCTATGAGCCCGTGGTAGATACGGTGTCGTTCAACAGGCTTAACGAGGAGCTGCGAGAATTTTGTTTGCAAAACAGTCTGATAGAAATCAGGAGGTCAGGAGCAATAGTTTAATGATTTAAAGGATCAGATTCATGCAGTTTCCTACGAGGAATTTAATTCTCTGAAGGTATTTTCTTGCTAGTTTTTAAAATCGGTGGCTTTGGCTCGACTCGGCATTAGCAACTTTTGCCTCAAGCCCTGCCGGACTTGCAGTGAACATTTCAGCTAGTCTTTCATGGCTTTCCTTAAAATGCTGATGGAAAAGCCTTGATCCTGCTAATTGCTAGAGCCTGCCTAAAGCCTTTTAGCAATCCCCACCCGCCCCCAAATGCTACCAACTCTTATCTGAAAAAAAAGTTGAAAAAGGGAGCACGGCAGCAGAGGACCTTGAAAACCTGACAGCTCTTTGAACATATTCTTGTTTCCAGATTAATCTGATATAATTTTCCCCTCCGAGTACTTGCAGTGTGCAGAGACACGTGCATTTCTCATGCTGTGGAGCCAGTCGGAGCAGTGGGTTGGAAGCTCCAGCGAGGGTCGTGTTTGCCTCGCGATTGCTGTGGGACAGGGGGTGTGACCACTGGCCACCGATCCCGGCTGTGATTTATGGTTTCCTAAGGAATCTGCTTAGATGAAGTGCTAATCCTGTAGCACTTTATGACAAGAGGTTTGTTTTCTTCCTTTTTTACCCCCCCTCCTCCTCCCTTTCAGCGTGTCATGAATACGGCAGGTTACTCTATCTGCGGGGAACTAGGCTGGAAATGTAAAGTAGTGTATGTCAAAATATGTAAGTGTCTTTCTCTTTTCATCACTTCACAAAGGGGAAAAAAAAGAAAGAAAAAGGAAGACAAAGGAATCCAAACTTTTTAATTTGGTGCCGAGTTATTCTTCTCTTTTTGCAGCGTTAACCTTGAAAACTGTGGGCAGAGGCGGCAGCCGTGAATCGCCCTGTTATTTTTAGCGATGGGAGAGGGTTAAGAGCTGTGGGTCAGGCAGCAGCACAGTGCTGGGGACACGCTGGGGCCTCGCAACACTTGAGTTTGCACCGAAAGCATCCAAGTGGAGAAAACATCTTGTCCTTGATAGCTCCACTGCTCGGTGGATGCTCTAGTAAATCAAAATGGATGTTTCTTTACTTGAGAACCTCCCTATCGGAAACAATAGACAGGCAAAATGATGGATGCTGTGGGTATTCCCTCAGAATCTAAAAAAAGAAGCCCTCGGAGACCTAAAATGCCTCTTTGAAATCCATATACATTACTCTAGCTTCCTCACAACACTTTTCATCTTTGGAAATATTCTGTAAATTTATTGGCTATGAAGCAAAAATACTAACGTGGAGTCTCTGTGGGAAGATTGACCTCCTAAGGGAAAAAGCTTTACGAAGAATGATTTTGGAAATCACTCTGGAGAACAGGCTTCATTAAGAGGTCTTCGCTATACTAACGGCACAAATTCTTGTGGCATGTCTGCAACCAGGCCTGCTCCATGCAGCTGCACGGAGCTGCGGGCAGTTACGTAGCCCCCATTGCCAGGATCGATCCCTCTGAAGAGGGCAAAGCCCTATTTGCCTTCGATGCACTATTTTATCTATATACAGCTCAGATATGCCTGATGAGGAGCTGTCTAATCCAATATTAACATGTCTTCTAATCTCTATTAAAATGGAAGCAACATTGGAGAGAAATTCTGGAAGTTGCTTGCTTGGAAAGGGCATTGGTCGTTCATATGTGCGCAAGCAATTCAAGGGACTGGCCACTTACTGCAAACCTTTTCCTCTTAAGTGGACACAGAGTTAAAATTTCTTAATCTTCAGTATTATTCGAAGTGTCGCTTTGTTATTTTTTTGGAGAAAATATTTAAAGCACTTTCAAAGGAAAAAGCTATTCTTAAAATTCTATTAAGCCTTCATTTGCATCTTTTATATCTGAGCAGGTAACTAGGTAAAGTGTTTGGCCTTTGGCTACAAAGAAGAGGATTTGGGCAGTGGGGAGGAAAATGCTCCCTCTCTTTGGTTTTATTACTGGCAGAGTGGTAAAAAGCAAATCCCTCTTCTAGTGTGTCCTCTGTATAACTCTCCCTCCTGAAAATACTGGAAGCCTAGCTTGCTTTTACTGCGTATGAAATGCAACTCGACAAAGACTGGTTTGCCACAAAAATAAATAAATAAATAAAAAGTTTTACAGAAAAATCTTTCAAAAGCAACTTAAGATTTGGAGGGTTGGACTTTACAAAGTAGGAGATGCCTGCATTATAGCATTGTATCCCTTTGATTAAAAGCCTATTATTACATTATGCGTTATGATAGTATTTTATCCTTCGGATTAAAAGTCTAATGTGGAAGGGTGTTTTTGTTGTGGTTTAGCAGGACTCGAGCTAGCCAGGGATCAGCAGTGGGATGCAGTCTCTGTACCAGCCTGCCTGGCTGAGGGTAGGTTTCGCCAGTGATGACACAACAGAGAAGTGGTGAAACATGGGAAACTTCTTCCTTTCCAAGTCTATAGGCAACTCTGTCATTCCTATATGTGCTGCGTGTCCCCTACCACCAATTTGTCCCAGACTTAATGCCAAATCTTCGGCCGTCTCCTGGTGAGCATCTCACACTCAAGCTGTTGATGCTGTTTTGCTACATCATTTCTGGTTCCTCTCTGCAGTGGCTTGGCTGATGAACTCAGCACATCTTCCTTCTCCCTTCTTTCATGGGTCGGAGAACTGGTGTCCTAATCGGTGAGACAGGGACTTACCACCTACATCTACCCGTCTACCAGAGGCGGTCAAGTCCTCTCTTATTCTGGTACTTGAGGTTGTTGTAAGGAGCTTATGGAAGGCCACCTGAATTCTTACTCGACTGATTTCTACACTTCTGTTGTTGGAAGTAAAACAGCTCCCAAAACCCCAAAAGCAACTTCAAGCAACTCTAATCAGTCTGTATCTCCCTTGTTTGGTGCTTCACAGTTTCTAGAGAAAATTGCTCTGCAATCTGGTAGATCTACCTGCTCAAAACAAGGGCCAGAGTTTCTAGGATCACAGGAGAGGAACAACAAATTTGAATCCCAGGGTAATCAAGCCATCAGCTGTCTTTGTTTTATTAACAGCAGCTGAGCTGTGAGGCATAATTAGGGTAATGGTTTCTGGCTCCAGCTGTGTCTCACTCCAGAACAAAGAGAGCTCAGCAGAGATTTTATAATACTATACACTTCTCCCCCTTCTACTTGGGGAGAATTAACAAAGATTGCTCAGTGTGCTGGAGCCTGTGATTCAGATACAAGTGGGCTTTTCAAAGCAGAGTGTGTCCAAAGCATATGAGAAGCCTGGGGAGTTGGCAGACGTGTGCACAGTGAGTAACACAGGCACCTCTGCAGACCTGGCGCCTGGAAGAGGGCTCTGACCACCCCGTGTTTCTTCCTGAGGGCTTGAGTGGGCACTTAAATTGTGTCCCCCTACTGTTGCCATACCCTTCTCTTCCAAGTTTTTGATCCCCTCTGTGAGAGGGGATTCTTCGGGAATAGGGGTTGTCGTTTGCAAAATGTGCTCTTTGGGGGATGAAAGGAGACACAAAAGTGGAGATTATCTGGTGTCCCACGTGGAGAATTGACGTTGGGATGTCTGCTTCTGTTGCCACCTACTGAGCTTAGAGGGGGATAAAAGTTGAAGCCAGACCTAACTGTATTCTAGCTAACAAGGACCAGCTGGGTCACAGAAGAAAGAGGGGGAAAATAAGGTGAAAATCAGCCTGGCCTCCCTAGGGAGGCACATGGAGAATTGGAGTATTGAGAGGGGAAAGCGCAAGCTCCTGTGTGTGGAGCTATGGTCAGCAAAGTCCATGGGCTTGCTGGGGTGGGTGGTTAATTTGGAGAAAAGAGAAGCTTTGTTCTTTTTTTAAATTGCTGTAGCTTTGGATGCTACAAAAATAAAAATAATAATAAAAAAAAGGAGCCAACTGATGTCAGCTCTCATAACTGCATCAAGATATCTAGCAGGCATTTTAAGGCACTCTGTCCTGGAATCATTGACTATAGAAGGATCAGTTTAATTCTTGAAAACTAAGGAAATTCAGGCCTAAACTACAATAGGTAGACCTGACAGCCTCAAGAATCCCAAAAAGCAAGATAAGTGCAAATAAATGCATTTGAGACTTGAATTAGACACTATTAACCAGTACTTGTGTTACGATCAGTAATCTCTGGTGCATGTGTCCCATGCTGTTCAATGCTCTCCTTTTCAAACAAGACTCAAACCTTCACCTTTGAATATTGCGTGGGTGGTTTGGATCTATTTATTTTATTTTATGTCAGTAATCCCTCTCTTTGGTTCTCGTTCAGTCAGGGTGGGTGCTCTTCTCTCAGGCTCTTCTCTACTGGTTCCAGTTTTGCCAAGATTAGCAGCATCACAATCACATGGATGAGATCTGAATCCAGCTAGAGCTGTTGTGTCTAAATCTGATGACAGATTATGACAGGATTACTGCCAACTTTGCTAAACACTTGTTTTGATCACTGATTGCTGGCTTTTTGTCATATTTCTGTGTTGTTGAGTTGATTGTAATACTAATCTATTTTTTTTCTCTGAAATCAATGTGCTAGTTTTGGAAATTAAGGATAGAAAAAGCATAGAATTTTATAATGATTGTCCTGTCCTAGTTTTTGAAATATTTTAATAGGAGAAGCTTTTTTTTCCATATATATTATTAATAGATACAACTATAAGTATATGCCAATACCAGTACTTGAAAACCTAAATTTATTAATTCAGGTGCATGTGTTAAATTGTAAGTTCATCCACTCATTAAAAACGGCAACAGGAGATCAGTATTAACTGTGCTAAATTGTCATGAACAAAGTCATCATGATTACAGCACAAGCGACACATGGTTTTTTCTTCAAGAAGCACAGATATATTGATGTAGGTGAAGAGGAAGGTCAGCTTCCTATGTCAATTGATGAAAAGATCTCTTTTCCTGCTTATGTGTTCTTTTTTTTTTTTTTTCTTTCCAGGTGATCAGCTTCTTCAGCTCCCGATTAGAGCAAGCTGGAGCCGAGCTGTCAGTGGAGCGAGTTCTGGAAATCATCAAACAAGGAGCTGTTGCTTTGCCCAAAGACAGGCTGAGAGTAAGTGTGGGAAGGCCTCCTCAGTCCGAGCATAGGGCTCCCAAACGGTTACATCTCTGTGCTTTACATATGTATTGTCTAATACGTTGTCTGTAAGGCAATAAGGGGTTGAGCATTGCAGATTGTGGGTATATTTTAATTTAAATTCCTTATTTGTGCTACACGTTTGGGTGAGTTTTCTTGTTATTAAATTGGACCATGTGGAAGAAATAAAATTAGCTGAGGCTAAGGCCTTTTTGGTCATGCCTCTAAGGTGAAGTCTCATCTTTCTTTACATTGTTCATTCAGTTAAGCTGTAACCAGACTTACATCATCATCTTTTTTTTTTTTTTTTGAGTTATCATATTCTTCCTTCCCTAGTGTTCCAGACCTCCATCTAGGTCTATACAAAGTGCTACAAAGAGAAATTTTTGTGGCTTTAGTCTGGGGTTAAGAATAAACCGACTTAGTGAAAATTAATCCAGGACCTGTAAGTGCAGCCAGCACACCCATGAGCTTTCTAGATAATCCTGAGCAGAGCCCTCTGTTCTCTTTTGAGAATCTCTCAAGTCTCATGAGGGATTTACCAATTTGACAGGTTTTATGAAGCTAAAATCCATTAATGGCTATGTGATATTTCAGTACTCAAGTCTGTGTAAGTACCTAAGTAAATACATGTGAGTTGCATGTATTTTTTTTAAATATGCCACCTTTCCCCAGCCTCCACTATGCCAAGTGTATTTTAAATACCATCTGCTTCCTGCAGAATCCTTTTTGTGCATACTCCTTGCTGAGAGAGAGCTTCTTCTCAAGACCCTTTTCTTTTACTGTAGCTTTAGGAAATTACCATCTGATAAGGCATACTGGGTATACATGGCCATTGGCGACAGCTGGTAATTTATTTATACCATAGCAATTTTAAAACACTCAGTGGGAGCTGTCTAGCCGGCTGCATGTACTAACGTCTCTCCTACTGTTCCCTCCATCCTCCCTGCCTGAGCTAGTGCATGTAGCAAGTCAATCAGACTTAAGTACTTGGGAACAGATTGGTCTAGAGGCTGGGTTTTGAACGGCGATACAAAAATAGCCCCAATAATAACAGAGGAGTTGCTGGATCCAAATCCTCCGCTCAGCCCGTCAGCTTCTGTTCTTGCTATGTGACGCTGTTGGGAATAGTCGGTAGGAGTGTATGCAAAAACAGGGTACAGTGAAACACCATTTCATATTTCAAAATATTTCATATTTTATTCTCAGAAGCTGCTTTTGCTGTGACAATTTGTCTAAAGAGACTGCAGTATTTCCTTCTTGACATAGAGCCATCAGTAAAAAAAGAAATGTTGCTTACAAAAAAATGAAAGTTTATCTGGTACTTAAGTGCATCAGGCTTACCTGTTGAGCCACAATTTAAAGATATGTTTTTTCGAGCGTGAAATCCCATCAGCTTTACTTTTTGTGCATTAATGATATATGGCGTCTGAAACTACATTGTTTGTCTTGCAGCTTAAGTCAGCAGATGAAAATGTTTGGAGACGTGTTAAGCTCTCTAAGTCCTTGTCAAGCAGCAGAGTACTTTCCATTTTAAGGATGCTGAAGGTGTGACTTGTAGCACTTACCTTTCTTCCAAAATACGTGATTTTCAGGGCAGGGTTACCAAGTGAATGCTATACATTCTGGCAGATAATTCCTTTATATTGCCCACTTTCACCTACTGGATTTTCTCATTTATTTCAAAGCCTTCTTGCTGAGTAACAGTTTGGTCAGAGCGGGTTACTCTTCTGAATGGTGGAAAGCTGGGGACACCTATCCAGATATCTGTAATGTCAGGCATGAACTTGTAAGTGCTCACAACTCCCCTTCTCTGCAAAGCTGGTAGCAATGAGTAGCACAAGTGATCCCCTCCAGCAGAAATTTCACTGCACATCTTCTGGCCCTCTGTCCTTGCACTTATCTCTGAAGGTCTCTTAATTCTCACCGTTTCTCAGGTCTTGCTGCTTCAGTCTCTGAGATTTTCGACGAAAGCTCTTCTAAAGCTTGAAAAAAATCATCTTAAGATCAGACTGAAGATACAGTTGCACAATATGTTGACAGGAGCAGGCAATTTCAGCAGCTAAATGAAGGAGAATGCTTTAATGCACATATCTTTAATGACACCCTCTTGGGCAGGTCCAGGTGGGTGGGAGCAGCCCTACTCATGTTTGATTCACCTGTACCATGAGCTTGGTGGATGTTTGCATTGCTAAGCTCACCCTTCAGAGCTGGAAACCACCTCAATGCATAGAGCAGCCCCTAAGCTTACTGGAAGGACAATATTTTATTGCATATTAGTTTGGACAAGCCAATTTGGACGTGTGGTTTTTGGATGCCTGTTGGGACCAGCTTGGAAAATGTGTAGAGGAATTAAGGGGTCTTCTGTTACATCAGGGTTGACATGACCTATGTGTAAATACAGCATGAAAAGCTGGAATTTTAATTCTGAGGATGTACAGATTGACTTTTCAATTGTTACTTCCTTTGAAAGGCATCCTTGACTTTTGCTCAAAGCGATGCTCAAAAATATGATAGACCAGCCAGAGAACCTGCTACCACCTCCTAGAAGTTACTTGAGCACCTTGAGGAAGGAGGTTGGAGCATAAAGAGGTTAGGATTTGGGGAAAAAAAATAAGATTGAAGCAACACTTTAACTCACTTGCCACCTTGCAGCCCCCCCGACCTTGGTGGTTTTCCCTGTGTGCAGGGATGTAACGTGCACGCATCTCAGCATGGGAAAGGGTTCCATGTCACTTATCTTGGCCTCGTGGCCACGAGCCTCCAAGAGGCATCGCACCTCTCCAGACCTCGAGCCTGCTGCTCAGACCGGAGTTCAGACGTGAATAGACATCAACTAAGAATAGCAGCACTCAGAGCCACGGTCCTGATCCGCATAATGCGGCTTATCGGTTCCGCAGCGCTCCCCGGTGCTGCCTTTCGCCGTGGGAAGCGCCAAGCGAGCTTGGGCGTGAGCAGCGGCTCTCCGGAAATTATCATACCTGCAAGGAAAGAGATCCTGCACCCGCGTAGCTAATCCCCATTGGGAAACGGAAGCTCCAGCTCGTATTTTTTCCTTGGAGTCCCGAAGCAACCTGATTGCTGTTCGAGATGAGCCACGTAATTAACGTTATTTTAACCATATGCTTTTAACCATGTGCTGTGCAAGGCAGGGAGAGTCCAAGCTGAGCAATTAGGCTTTTAGGAGACTTAGGTATAAACAGCCCGATAAAGGGCAGGTGCCAAAATCACGAGCTGCTGATTGCTCCTGCAGTCTGGGGGAGGAGATAAATGCGGCTAATGTGCCTGGGACAGAGGCAGAAGCCGCAGTTTGGAGATAGAGCTGTCTCCTTCGCAGACGAGCAGCCCGCAATCCCGGCTCTCTGCTTTATTGCAGAAGCTTATTAAAGGCAATTTAGAGATCACAGTGATAGGTGAAAATTGGCCTCCTTCTTTCCTTATTTTTATTTTATTTTTTTTAGAAGTTCACAGGCTGGCTGTCTTCCCCATGGAGAACTCTGCACTGCCAGGATTAGGAGCGTGAGAGAAGCAGGGCCGTGCCTGGAGCCTCAGCTATCTAGCATTGCCACAGGGAGTTAGCCGGCAGATAACTGCTCTAGGATAAGTGGGAAAACTTGTTTTGAATGCCGGCTGGTGACCGGGAGCTGCCATTTGGGTTCGGGGGCGATCAGACTCGAGAGGCCACGTTGAATGTTTCAGAAGAAAACTTCCCATCCACTAAGTCACTTAAACGCAAGCATATTTCATTTCTGTGAACATACTCTTTGTAGCATTCATTCTTTTTTTTCTTTCCTCTCTATGTCAATTGGTATTTTGTCATCCATGTTCATTCATATGTTCTTGCTGCATTAGGCAGACATGCCATTACACTCTCAGCTTGCACCTCTTCACTACGGTACCAAATATAATATTTATCCAAGTGCATTGTAGTTTCATGAGCATTAAAAATTCACAGAATATGTAAAAGGAGCAGAAGTAAAAGCCTTTGGTCTCTTGACACTAAAGAAAAAATCTTCCCTTTAGGTGTTAAAAGCACTTCTTGGAGGTTTACCTTTTATTAATGATGTCCTTCCAGCTTCTTCAACTTCCATGCATTTCACAGGAAAGCTGCTGCTGATTTTCAAGGCACCAGTGATCAGGTCCAGTTCAGTGGTGGTTATAAGCTCTAAAGCATTTCATGCCTTGAAACAGAGGTTCCTGAGAGACCATCCTTTCTGGTGCTGGTGTCCTCGGTGCTCCATTGCTGTTTGGCCAGAGGAAGATGCTGGTAGACTTCAGGGTGCAGAGCTGCAATCTTCAGTAATCTAAATGAAACTTTACAACAGATCTGCAGTTTTCAGCTGCATATAACTCTTTTTTGCACTTGTTTAACTGCCTCCCTGGCCTGGGCCTGAGGCAGAGAGGAGCACGTAGCTGCATGTCCACAGGGAAGGAGCTGCGGAGATTAGCAGCTCTGCTACAGAGCTCTGGGGCATGGTGCTTAGCAAGAGAGGCAGAAAGCTTCCTAAAAGTAAATTTTTCATCAGAATTCTTCCTGATATTTATGTGTTTCTGACTGAAGGGTCAAGGAGCTCGTCGCAGTGGAAGCCGATTGTGTCTAATCCATCCTCGGGGCTGCCAGGAGGCAGCATCTGTGGTGCCGGCTTCCTTCCCTGACCCTCGGCGCCTGTTAACCCTTCACCTGAAGAAGACCAGATTAATAGGAGAAGCGTAGGAAACGTTTTAAACAAAGTGCTTTTGGGGGCCTTTCCACAGCCCCAGACGTTGGCTAAGAATAATATTTACGGATCGTGTATTTCATCCTGGCAACTTGCATCCTGAATTGGGATGTCAAACTTGCTTGCTTCCGTTGAGCTGCCCAGCAAGGGATGAGTAATAACTCGCTTTGCACTTGAAGGCATTGCTTTTAGAGGTCAGCTTCTCGGAGACCTCGGGTAGAGACAAATGTATTCCCCATCCCATGAGAAATATGATTG